AACTGTTACAAAGCCCCGGGTGTGCTGGCCTTCGGGGTTCTGCACGCGGATCTTGAAGCCGAAGAGCTTGGCGATATGTTTAGCTTAGGATTTATAGGGTCAGTTCCGGGTTTAAGGTTGAGGGTTGGGGGTTAAAAGTTTAGGGTTGGGAGTTGCGGGGGCTGAGACTTTGGTGCAGTGGCTTGCGTTCCACTGGACTTCCGAAACTTCGCGTGGCTCAGGATGGAACCTGAATGCCTCAACCGACAGAGCATTCTTCCCAGCCAATATCATTATCAACCACCGAGACCACAAACGGTGACAACAACAACAACAACAGCACCAACAACAACACCACCACCACCACCAGCATCAGCAGGAGTAAAAACAACAGCAACAACAACACCATTAACCAAACCACAAGCATGGCAACATATCGATCCGCAAACATGTTCGTGATGCTGCTGGTGTTGTTGATGAACGAAGAATGTCACGCTTACTGGAAGATGATGCCGTTGGTGGTGATGACCCTGACGGCTCCGCTGATGATGCCGATGAGGATGCAGATGGCATCTAGCATGCTGAAAGTGTCGCGAATGATAGGACAGGACTGATTAGGAGGAATAGTTATGCTCCAGCAACTCCTTTTTTTCAAACACTGTCCCCCAGCAGGGCAGCAGCATGCGATTCTGGCGCAGGATAGTCTTTAGGAAAAGATGTAGCAACTCTGAAAGCAAAAGGGGGTCTGCCGCAACCGCGACCATAGTGTAGGGGATCTTGAACTTTCATGCGAATCAAGAATGGCAAGGTCAACATCAGCGTCATCAACAGAATGTTCAGCTTCTGCCACTTCTGTCTGCATGTTGAGCACATTGATATCATCATTGGTAATACAGTATAATGAAACTCTGCTGACCTTGCCATGGCCGTGTCGCGACGTTGATGGCACTGTAGCACTTCTACTGCATGGTAGCGCTGCGACCGATTCCGACGGTTTGGTATGTGCTACGCCTTATGGGTAGGTTGTGATCTGCTGTTTTCCTTTCACAACACATCAATGCAGCTGGCCTCCCACAACTTTAAGTGGCAATACATCATGGCGTACTGCCATACTGCTGATGAACTATGAAGCAGAGAGGGCCATCCCCATAAACTCTCATACGGTCTCGGGTGGCCGGCGCCCCGAACATCTCGAAACGTAGAGGCCACTTGCAGATGCTCTGGCTGCAAGAGATTCCAAGAGGAGCCTCTTTCAGTCTGGCAACGTCGTTTCATTTGGGCCTGATACAGTTTAATAGGGTTTACGGTTCAGGGTAAAGTTGCCGATAGAACACAGATCACTTGTCTTTTGAGGGTGTGCCCGTCAGTGACAGACTGCGGTGGAGTCCACAGCATCTGCGACCCAGACGCTGGACATCGCTGGACGAGTGCGCTCAGTCTGGTACTGTCAGTCACAAGTCAACCCTAACGCCTACGACATCAAAAGACAAACGGAAGGCTCTCTGCGCGAGGTGGCAAGGCATCACGGTGTCGTAGCGAACTGTCCGTTCCCCCGGGCCGACAGGGTGCAGCTCCACCCAAGTCCATCAAAAATAGAAAACTGGGGCCCGGTGAAGTTGAAATGTAGGGATCTTCGATGGTTTTTAGGGTTTAGGGGAATAGCACCGGGCCCCAGAGTTGGGGCAGCTGCCCATCGGCATCTTTGCACAGATATGTACAAATCCCTCCATGGCAAAAGGGGTAGCTTCTTAGGAGTCTCCTGGGATGGGATGAATGGGAAGCGACACAGAGAAAGCCTTGTGACATCTTGTTTCCAAGGACGAGCTTTGGGAGCCGAGGCAGTCTCAGAATAATATACCAATATCTATATTCATAACAACAATGGTCATTTATTGTAATGGTAGTAGTAGTAGTAGTAGTAGTAGTAGTACTAGTACTAGTACTAGTAGTAGCACGAGTAGTAGTAGTAGTA